GAGCTGTTGTTCAGCATCTTAGCTGTAGAGGGCAGTGTCACTGGCCCTCATATGTGGGACCCGAACTGGGGCCCTCTGGCATCTCATGCCAGCTCTTAACCAACGCGCCCCTCGGCCGGCCCCTTGATCTATTTTTTAAAGGACCCATACACTTATTTCCAAAATGTCTGTCATAACTAAAAATATTTTTAGTACCTCTCTTTGGAATTTGTCTAATTAATCTATAATGATTCTCTTTTAATATGCTCAAAGCCTACCGAATCTGTATATTCTGATGTACGACTTGATATTTGGAAATAGCTAATAAATTTTTGTCACACCTGGTCAGGAATTTAGGTGATTTAGTTGCATAACTGTTTTTGGTTGAAAACAAGGTATACCTTTGAGTTAAGGCACCGATTTTCTAGTATGACGTATCAATGGAGCCCTAAAACAACTTCGGAGTAGGAGTTTTGAAGTAATTTTGAACAATGGAAGCCTAAACGGATTAAGTTTCCAGTTTCTGAAGGTGATCAGTTTGAAGGACAGCCCCCATTTGACCATGTGCCCTGATATGTTTGTTTAAAAATCACTCTTGGTACAGTTGATATTTTGATTTATCGAATTAATGCCTGAACATGCAAGATGCCTCGTCCATTTTTCTTCAGAGTGTAAGTCATGCTATAAATACCTAAACTTTAAACATCATGGGAACAAAAAAAGCAGCATAAAATGTAAGTTCTTCCAGGGTAAACCTAGGGTGCTACCAGGAAATATACACAGGTTCCTAAAAGCGCTTTGTAATTCTGGGCCACTCAGTTAATAATGAATAGTTTATGTGTCCTGCGCGTTGAGCTATGTGCTGGATCACACTGGTCTTCTAGGGAGAAGGCCATATCTTCCAGGGGGCCATATCAAACCATTTTTCTAGTTTGGAATATGAGGACTAACGTGAACAAGAAAGACCTATGACAAAAAGGCTTCTTCCCTCTTGTTCATCCCGAGTTCCTCAGCTATTCTGTTCATACCACCCTTTGAGCCCAGGGTATCTTCAGTGTGGGAACAGCATGTACTAGCTATGTTAGATCAGTATTCAAGTATTAATAATTTTGTAAGGCCATCCATAGCTTATACTTTTTAACAGAGTGTACTAAATTTAGTTTTGGCCTGACACAAATGAAAAAAAAAAGTGAATATACATTTCAAGTCCTTTTGCTTAGAACAATGATCCTTAAAGTGGAGTCCCCTGACCAGCAGAGTCAGCATCACTTGTTAGAAATGCAAAGTCTCCACTCCTACCTCAGAAATATTGAGTCAGAACTGGGGAGGAGAGGGAAGAGACCCAGCAACCTGACTGTAAGCCATCGTTCCAGGTGGCTCTGATGTATGCTAAAGTATAAAGACCGCTGGTTTAGATACTATCAGAGCATCAGTAAAGAAACTGTCAGATACACTGTGCAACCTTTTACGAACTTGATAATTTATCCTAATGGCCTATTGCTACCCTCATGATTACTACATTTAACATACACACAATTTCACACATAATTGTTGTCTGACAGAATGTGTGCAAAAAAGTCATGGCTTCTCTCCATAAAGAGAGAGTATGGAAAGGAGACAAATGTACTTGTTTTTAGTTTTCCAAAATGATATCTTCCTCAACTCCACCTTGCCTCCAATAAAAGAATCAGGGGGAAAAAACCATTATAAGCAGGCTCTGTTCTGTTTCTTTTGGCAGAGCAGAAAGATTTTATTAGGTGATATAAATGCACTTTCTCACTTGTAGATATCAGTTATAATGTGTCTTGAGCGAATAGCTATGTGCAAGCCTGTTTTAAAGGACAAAACATTTGAAGGTAAACTGAGGCTTCGTCTTATTTGTAGCTAAACCCTCATACTCATTTCAGATCTGTTCATTGGACTATGATGCTCAAGGTACATAACATAATTTTTGATGAAACAAAGTTTCATAATCCCCTCAAAAGGCATATATACTTATTCTATTCTATGTAATGATTCTATGTTTAGTATTTAAGACTCAGGCTCTGGAGCAGTGCAGTCCACAGACATATAATGTAATCCATATACGTAATTTTAATTTTTCTAAGTAACCACATTTTAAAAAGTAAAATGAAATGAGTGATGTTAAATTATATTTTGTTTAACCCTACATATTAAAAATATTACTTCAACATGTAAATAATATAAAGTTAATGATATAATTTTATATTTTTATAATCTTCAAAATCCTGCATGTATTTTACACATATGGCACACTTCAATTAGAATGCTAAATTTTAACTAGAAAGACTTGATTTTCATTTAGATTTATTAAAATTTATCATTGCAAAAGTAGATTCTATACCCAACTTGTTTCAAACATACCAAAAAGTTTTCTGGTAGCCTCGCTGAGTATGTTTTTATATTTACATTAATAAAAAAATACATAAAATTAAAATTTCAATGTATCAGTCACACTACCATATTTCAAGAACTCAGGAGCTACAAGTGGCTACTGGCTACCATTTGGGGCTGCGCAGCTCTGGGGCTGACAGACCACACCTGGGTAAGAATTCGGGCGCTGCCATTTAGTGGCTGCCTAGCAAATCACCCAGTCTTCTCCAAGCTTCAGTTCTATCAGTTCTATCGTGTGTGGTAAGTGGGGGTAAAAACCCACACTCCACTATGTACACTCAACTTCTGCCGTCAAAATTAGCTGCATAATAGAAACAGCTAGCTTGCTTTTTGCCTCATAGCAGAGGTGAGGAAATTATTGCATCACTTTACAGTAATCAGAGCCACTCTAAATGCCTACAGTGTAAGAATGGTTAAATAAATGTAATTAGCACTCTGCAGTCATAAAATGCTATTTATTATTAGTCACTAATATTAATATCGGCTAAAGAAAAAAAGAAGCATTATGAATAGCTCCACAGCAGCCTGAGCGCACAAAGAAAAACTTGGAGGGACCGGCTGCCTATCAACGGCGGTTTTCCTAAGCAACACGATGAGGGTGGGGATGGAGCTGGCACACGTTCGGCTTGTTTCTGGGCAGTTATTTTCCAAAATATTTTTTTTTTCCTAAAACGGAACTATAAGTTTTGTATTTTAAGGAGCAAATCCCAAATCTGCTTTGAAACGACTACACTTTTCACTTAGAGTCCGGAATGTGATTTTAAATATAGCTTATATATACTGTAACCATGAGAAACTGCTGCGCAAAAAATAACTCGAATCAGAACCAGGCACAACCCGCCTGTTTTCAGTTGGCGGTTTCCCGCCGGCCAAACAGAAACAAAACCGCTCTGACGTAAAGGGAGGCGGCCTCTCCTTGTTACCATGGTGAAGTCTATGCGGCCATCTTTAGTGTGGTTAGGTCGCACCAAACTTTCCCCGGCGGGGATGGTGCTGCGCCCGGAAAGTCTGCGGAATCAGAGACGAGAAAGGAATGATGAGTCTCGGAAATAAGGTGCTGACAGAACCACGTAGCACCAGGGGCAGAAAGCACTGGCTAATTCAGTGGAAGGTCGAGGTGCAGATTCCGCGGATAAGCGGAACGATTTAAGCGGAAGTGTGAGGTTTCTGCCCGGATTTTGAGAGCCGCTTCCTTTGCTCAGCGGAAGTGTCCGTGGCAAGCACACTCTTGGAAGGATCCGCTCTCCGCTGTTTGAACGGCCGGAATCATGTCGAGCTTGGCGGTGAGAGACCCGGCAATGGATCGATCACTGCGTTCCGTGTTCGTGGGGAACATTCCGTATGAGGCGACTGAGGAGCAGTTAAAGGACATATTTTCGGAGGTTGGTTCTGTTGTCAGTTTCCGGCTGGTATACGATCGAGAGACGGGAAAGCCCAAGGGCTATGGTTTCTGCGAATACCAAGACCAGGAGACCGCGCTTAGTGCCATGCGGAACTTGAACGGGCGGGAGTTCAGCGGCAGAGCGCTTCGGGTGGACAATGCGGCCAGTGAAAAGAACAAGGAGGAGTTAAAGAGCTTAGGGCCTGCTGCGCCCATCATTGACTCACCCTATGGGGACCCCATCGATCCAGAAGATGCCCCTGAATCAATTACCAGAGCTGTCGCGAGTCTCCCCCCGGAGCAGATGTTTGAGCTGATGAAGCAGATGAAGCTCTGCGTCCAAAACAGTCACCAGGAAGCTCGAAACATGTTACTTCAAAACCCTCAACTGGCTTACGCGCTCTTGCAGGCACAAGTAGTGATGAGAATCATGGATCCAGAGATTGCTCTAAAAATTCTTCATCGCAAGATACATGTCACACCACTGATCCCAGGCAAAGCTCAGCCTGTGTCTGGCCCCGTCGCTGGCCCCGTCGCTGGCCCCGGCCCTGGCCCTGGCCCCGGCCCTGGCCCTGGCCCTGGCCTCTGCCCAGGACCTAATGTTTTGCTGAACCAGCAGACTCCTCCAGCTCCTCAGCCTCAGCATTTGGCTAGAAGACCTGTGAAAGACATTCCTCCTCTGATGCAGACCCCTATCCAGGGTGGAATTCCAGCCCCGGGGCCAATGCCAGCTGCAGTTCCTGGACCTGGTCCTGGTCCCTTAACTCCTGGTGGAGCAATGCAGCCTCAAGTTGGAATGCCAGGGGTTGGTCCGGTGCCTTTAGAGCGGGGACAGGTGCAGATGTCAGATCCTAGAGCTCCTATGCCTCGTGGACCCATGACTGCCGGTGGCCTGCCTCCTAGAGGATTGTTAGGCGATGCTCCAAATGACCCACGTGGAGGAACTTTGCTTTCAGTCACTGGAGAAGTTGAGCCCAGAGGCTATCTTGGGCCACCACATCAGGGTCCACCCATGCACCATGCCCCTGGCCATGACAGCCGTGGCCCTTCCTCACATGAGATGAGGGGAGGGCCATTGGGCGATCCCAGGCTGCTAATTGGAGAGCCCAGAGGACCCATGATAGATCAAAGGGGTCTACCTATGGATGGCAGAGGCAGTAGAGATTCTCGAGGGATGGAGACCCGAGCCATGGAAACTGAGGTCTTAGAAACAAGAGTGATGGAGAGAAGAGGAATGGAGACCTGTGCAATGGAAACCAGAGGGATGGAAGCAAGAGGCATGGATGCAAGAGGAATGGAGATACGAGGCCCTGGCCCTGGTTCGAGAGGCCCTATGACCGGTGGAATCCAGGGTCCTGTTCCCATTAACTTGGGGGCAGGTGGTCCTCAGGGACCCAGGCAGGTCCCAGGCATTTCAGGGGTGGGAAATCCTGGAGCTGGCATGCAGGGGGGAGGCATGCAGGGAGCAGGCATGCAGGGAGCAGGTATACAAGGAGCAGGCATGCAGGGAGCGGGCATACAAGGCGTGGGCATGCAGGGAGCAGGCATACAAGGAGCAGGCATACAGGGGGCTGGCAAGCCAGGTGGAGGCCAGCCTAGCAGTTTTAGTCCTGGGCAGAGCCAAGTAACTCCACAGGATCAAGAAAAGGCAGCTTTGATCATGCAAGTTCTTCAACTGACTGCAGATCAAATTGCCATGCTGCCTCCTGAACAAAGGCAGAGTATCCTGATTTTAAAGGAACAAATCCAGAAATCTACTGGAGCTTCTTGAAAGGTTTAAAAAGTACTTGGCAGTATCCCAGAAAGTTTTGGGTTTTTTTTTTTTCTTGTTGTTTGTTGCTATTCTTGCATGGAGAATGGGTGCAAAAAGCTGACTTCTGCATCCCGCACTTGAATGATTAGTATTTCCCTCTTGCCAGAACTTAATCTCATTTCTTTTTGTTGTCTTTTTTTTTTCTGTTTTCCTTTTTATTTTTAATTGGGTGGGGGGGAGGGAGGGGCGCTAGGGGGAAGAGGGAGTGGATCTGTTCACTTGAATTCACTATGAATACACAAAAAATAATTCTGAGAATGATTATATTATGCCAAATAAGATTACAAAGAAAATGCAACAATATTAAAACTGTCTACAATATGTTAACTACATTTGTTTTCAAATATTGAGTAAAACGATGTGAAATCTGCACATGAAGACTAAAAGGTGACCTGTTAAAATGGTAATGAACCAAGATAGTTTAACATTTTTAGTTGTATAAGAAAATAAAGAAGTTTACCTCAAAATTATATATTTTTGGTAAGTCATTTACAATACGAAATCCTACTTGTGGGGCAATAGAATGCTGTATTAGGTTAAGCACTGTTTCAGTGCTTTGAAATTATTTTGAAATCTTAACAGCTAACAGGATAAGTCTAAACTTGTGGTATTGGAATTGTTTTTTTCTAAAGTGATGCTACCTGAAAAATCAAGGAATGCATCTGGTGTGATGATGTTCCCTTCATCTCACTCTTAAGAGACCAGCGATATTCTGGCCTGGCCCTGAACATGATTTTGCTGGGACAGTTTACTTAAGTCTGCTCTGATGAGATTCAGTATATCTCTCAGTACCTTCTATTTCTCCATAGTCTTTAAGCCTTAGATCTGAATGAGTTATTCTCTCACATCCTTCCCTAAAATCTACCTAGTGACCAGTTTATCTGGATTAATTATACACAGCATTGGGCATTTCATAAATAGCAGAGGGCTTCATGCAGTTAAGCTCTGCTTTTTGGTAACTATTGTCCATATACAAGTGATACCCATCTAGTCAACCAGAATCAGGTGTTAAAAATCTAAGTCTCAGTAATATTTAGCATGCCTTTCAGTTTGCTTCAAAATCTTATTTGTCTATCACCATCTTAAAATAATTGAGGCCCGGGAAGGTAGATTCTTGTAGCCTTAGTTCTCTGCTTGGTTATTACATATTACTTTTTATAAGTAATAAAGCCATTTAGTCCTAATAAACATACCATTGAGACAGTTGAAACTCAGTAGGAAGTTGGGCTTATCACATTTCCTTTAGAGCTACTACCTAATTTTAGGTCTTGAAGATACGGACATACAAAAAATGTATATCATAGATCACAGGTAATTAACAGAAGCATAAACACCAAAATAACCAGGTGATCTTACTCTGGAGAAGAAAAACTAACATTTAGTTACAGGAAAAAATGTTATTTAAAATAAAGAGAGAGCTGATACTTAGAAACTGAATTATTTTCCCCTTGCACAAGGGTTTTACATCTTAACTGGGTAATTCACTCCATTTTTACAAAGTTTTCATCCCTACACTGTTCTTGGCTGCCTGTTTTACTCCTGTTTTTATTGTTCATACTGTTAATTTTCCCATGTTTTTTATATGCTTTCCCTATATTAGAGGGGATAGCTCTCCTGTGCATGTGTGATAGCTCTGGATAATATTCACAGAGTTGGTTTGACTGCTTTGAAATTACACTTGCTTTATTCCAAAGCTTTCACTGAAGGACTAAATGAAAACCATTAAATGTTATGCTCTTTGTTGTAGTAAAATCTCTGCAAGTTTAATGCAGACTTAATAAAAAGAATGTAGAATTAAGTCTCACTTTAGTATCTGATATGTTTATTTTTGATGAATGCTTTATTCACGCATTCATCTATTGTTGAGAGATCCACCGGGCCTGAGTACTTTTTTTTTTAATATAAAAGACAAAACTAAAGAAATTGCAGGAGTGGATGGGGGGGACCCTTTCTTAGATCCATTATCTATGTAGTTCTACAACTGAAATAACTATAAAAATGTGTTATTCTATGGTTGGTATCAGTAGCAACATCTTGGTGGATGTTGCAAAAGGAAGATATTAGGCTTCCTTTTGTTTATGTTCCCCACAGAGAACTCTGTATCCCAGGATCACTTTATAGGTATCTTCATTAATACAGCAATTTTATGTTTGCAATGCACTATGTTTACTTTTATCCTCTACCCACCTCTCACTTCTAATAGACCAGGAACTCAGAACACAGACTGCCTTCCTCATTTCTGTTTGCTGTAGCAAAAATCACGGGTGAGAAGGAAGGACAAAACATTATATCAGAGTCTTAGGGAAACAAAAATCCCATTAAGAGCACATAAATTTCACCCAAAAGGATTTGGATTCCACACAGAACCAAATAAGTTATAACAACTATTTGCATTAGAAAGTGAATTAAAAATAGATAACAGAAGCAATCGCTTTTACTTTGGTAAATAGGTTCTTTCTGTCCCAATATTGGTGTAGAGTATAGAGCCTTACTTCATTTTGATAGTGAAAAATACAAAATGCCTTTTACAATCAGAATCTTACACATTTTACTACATAATGGCTGGTTACAATCCCTGACATCCTGCATTTGCTGACTAAGGACAGACTACAAATCACAAATTCGTTCATAAAAACTAGTTGAAGATAGTGGGGTAAAATTGATTTGTAAATACCTCTTGAGGGCTTATTCTTCTTGAGCAGTACATGTTTCTTGGGAATATGAAATGATCAACTTTAATTAGTGCCCAACCATTAGTACTTCCCCTCTTATATTAATGATTAACATCAAAATGTATCTTAATAATCTGCTGATGTCCCTCTCCCAGGACTCCTGATTTTGGGGTATTCCACAAAATATGACCGTAGGCTAATCCAAGTGAGATTGTTTATGACTTTTCAACTACACTTTTCAGAATTCTAGTGGTAGAAAAGCGAAAAGAAAAAAAAAAGCTTAAATCAACAGCTTTCAAAGCTTTTGTTTTTCTCGTGCTGTGATGGGACATTAACAAAGCACATGGAACCTAATTTCCTATGGCGTGTTAGGTCTTTTTCTTAGGTCTGATGAGGTCTAAGGATAATTATGTGCAACAACCTGCTGTGGCAGAGAAACTGAATTATCAGTTACATCTCACAGTCTTATCACAAAAGAATACGCCAGCCTCTCACTTCTTTATATTGACAGCTAGTCTCTAGACAGATTTCTGTGGCGCTTGCTTTTCTCGTCAGTCTCTTGTCAAGAATGCTCTACAGTCAAGAGTTATTCATTTTAAGGTATTTATTTAAAATAAGGAATTTCAATAGTATAAATATGATACTGGTACATTATACAATATACTAATACATTTCATATGTATAGTCCAGATCTTAACCAGGATTTTTAAACATTTTAATTTGCTTTTGTACATTCTGAAACAGAAGTTTACTCCTTTGAAAATTCAGCTTCACAAATAGTACTAATTATCTTTCTCATGAGATGTTAACTAGCATGTTCCTTCATATTTTTTTCTACCACGGTATATAATATGTCAATAAAAGGCATGTATTGTATTAAAACTGACATGGAAGTAGCAATGTCGAAAATAATAAACCTGGTGCTTATTAAATACATAAAATAGCAAAGTATTTACCTAGCAAAGAAACAAGTCCTGATTCACGACAACTCTTTAAAACCAGGAGTTGATTTAGGATGTAAAGGTAGGTAAATATTATCAAGGAGTTAGAATAAAATATGCCACATTCTCAACCATAATCAATTTTATGATTCAGTATGTATAAAATCTGCAGACATTTGAAATCAATCATGTGTCACAAAGTCATTTAAAAAAATTGATCATTTAAAAAAGTATCTGCTCGATTACTTATTGTCTATCACAAAAGTAGAATAGATGATGTTTTGGGCATCAAAAAAATGAAGCCAGCAGTTCCTCCCAAATTATTTTCTGTTTATTTAATTAGCTATTTTAGTCAGAATCCTGTTTTATTACATTACCAATCTCTTCAATAATTTACTACAAAAATCTGTAGGCCACTGCAATGTACCTGTCAGCCTTTGATTGTTCCATTGCCTCATCTTGCTGCCTGGATATAAAGCAATCTGGACCTATTTGGGGATCTATTTATGCATTTATCCATGGACATTCCACAGAAAAAGATACATTTGCTATAACTCAGTCCCCAGTTTTCTTCAAGATTCACTTTAATATTTGAAACATGAGACATTAAAAATTGTACATTTGAGTTAATAATGTGATGGAAAGGGCTAGATAGGGCTTGCTTGGTACATTAACATTCATAAAATCGCATTCTATATCCCAAATATCACCCTTGTTCACATAGTAAGTAATATAGCAACATAAATAAGAAGGACTAAAAACATTGCCAGACAGAAACCTGGCTCTATGAGAGTAAACACAACCACTGCCAATTAATGGGATAGATTTCCTGTCTTTTAGGTAAGACTATATATCCGAAATAGTTTCATCTTTTTATACTTATCAAGCAGAGAAAAAGTTCCTCACGTATTTTAAGAAACAGAAATTACATTGTTGAAGTCTCTAGAATCACATACTCCCCTCCCCCCGCCCCCGGCCCCCCACCGTCACCAGTTCAGTTTTGTCAGTTTTGTCCTGTAGAAGCTTTAAATGTCTTTGGACAATGAACTACAGATTGAGGAATCTGTAGTCTGGGGGCTAATCGAATCTGCAGATATGTTTTATTTGGTAAGCCCAATGTTCTCAAAAATTTTGAATTTGAATGCATTTAGGTGCCTCATATATTCTCCAATTTGGCCACAGACCCAATCTCTTCCTATGTCTTAATGTATATTATGTCTCATATATTAGGTTTGATTCACACAATTGTCAGTCCTTGTAATATGTTGAGTATACAGCTCCTGCTTTTACTCTATAAGAATATAGCTACTAGATTCAGTTGAAATTTTTAGCATCGGTTAGGTTGTCGAAAAAGTCATGATGTATTTTTTCTATTTTTCATTTCAAAAGTATGTCATGACTTTTCCGACAACCCAACAATTTGACAAATGTGAATTAGAAAAATGGTCCAGCAACCGGTTCAGCAGTATATCTCTACAAAATCAACCAATCAAACAAAAACCCAGAATGAACAAAAACAAAAGATATGACACATTTTTAATTTACAGCTTTCCATGAAGTATATTGTGCAAAGGAATATCCTTGTTCACTAATCCAATGAGTACATTTCTCCAACAAATCTGTATTTTTAATAAATATTAAGCCAGGGCCGGCCGAGGGGCGTGTTGGTTAAGAGCTGGCTTGGGACGCCAGAGGGCCCCGGTTCGGATCCCACATATGAGGGCCAGTGACACTGCCCTCTGCAGCTAAGATGCTGAACAAAAGCTCAACCTGGAGCTGGGCTGCCGTGAGTTGCCGGCAACAGCATAGGCTGCAGCCACTGCTGCAGTGGGCTGCAATGGGCTACCGTGTGTAGCCAGCAGCCTCCGTGAGCGGCCAGCAGCCGCAGTGAGCTGCCATCCAGAAGCCCGCGACTTATCTGCCGCGCCCAGGAAGAGCTCAATGATGGTGCCAACTTGGGCCAGTGAAGCAACATCCTCCACAACTAGACTGAAGAAGAAAAGGACAGCAACTTGTCTGTTCCCATTCCCCCAATTCCCCAATAAAAATCTTAAAAATAAATAAATAAATAAGCCAAAATATTAGCATATTTTCAATTCAAAAATAGATTTATAAAATGAGTAATATGTGTCACGTATATAAGTAATAAATGCTAACAGCTCTAGGATGGACATGTATAGTATGCAAAGTAGAGCAGAGTTTTTCAATATCTTTACCTGTCATTAACTAATTTTAGAAAATGATCCACTGTGTAATTTCCACATAGCAACCACACTGATTCTAAAACAAAACAAAACAAAACCCTTAATCAAATCATGCCATTCCCTTGTTTAAAACTTGTCATCGTTTACATTGCTCTTAAAATAAAATTTCAAATCCTTAACCATATCCTGTAAAGTCCTAAGTAATTTGGATCTTCACTACATCAATTTCACATACTCCTGCTACAGCTACTTTGGTCCTAGATTCACTTCTTTGAATCTGACAAACAGTTTCATTTCTGAGCTTTGTGCTGGGCAGTTAGTTTCCCTTATTCTTACCCGACAGGTTCCCCAGTCTTTGAATGGCTAGTGGATTCCCTTTACTTAGATCTCAACGTAATTATCTTTTACTCAGAGAGGCTTTTCTTGAATACCTCATTTAAAATAGTGTCCTCATGTTATCTCATTTTTTGTTTGTTTTGCTTGTTTTTAAAAATAGCTCTCTTACCTGAGCAACAACTCAACAGTAATCCATGCTCTCTAATCCTTTTGCAAAGTATGTTATAATCACAAGGCAAATCTGATGATTGCCATTAATGAGTTACTCTTTACTATGCCCATTACATTTATCATGTCAACTATCTTTGTTCCCAAATTTATATTAGTTGTAGTTGCTACTGCCATACATAGATATAGGCATAGCCATAGGTATATAGATAAATAGCATGTGTGTATACATGGAATATGGTTGCAAAAAATAAAAAGTTATTTCTAAGAAATCCACGCTGAGTATATATTCATAATATGAACTGTGTCTATAAACTGGCTTACCAATTATACTGACTGTTCTAATGTATACAGTGATTGATATTATTAACACGGGTGTGAAAAAAGGCTCTTTTCCAGAAAACTATGTTGAATGTTTTATAAAGATTTGATAAAAGTTGAGTGGCCAGAAATGGGTACTTGTTAAATTTTGTGGGGGCAAGA